TCAGCATTATCAATGGATTCCATCTTACAGCCTTTCTTTGACAACTGGTTAATTTCAAAGATACAAAGAGGCAAATAAAGCGACCAAAACAGGTAAAAACACTGGAAGGAACAGCCAAGCTCTACTTTGTTTTATTTATTGGAAGCCGAGTCGTTCTTATTGTGACGTCATTCGACGCCAACTAGGTACCAGACCTCGCGATCCCGTCCAAATTGATGGGGCGTGGCAAAAATTGCGTACTTTAGGGCGTTATATCTCCGGGAATATTTAGTCAATCGAAAAATTTTTTTTTCTTTATTCATCTCCAACACACAGAAAATCAAAATTGATCATAATCCTATAAAGGTTATAGGCACTTTAAGTATTTTCTATTAGGTTCTTATATTTCAAATAAGTGAGCTTTTTTCGGTATTTTCTTTTTCATATACGTATACGTTCAATGCATATTCATTTCGCTGAAATGCTTTTTCAGCCCTCTGCGTTGTGCTAGTTCTGATATCGCCAATTTATAATTACATGGTGAATGCACGGTTATCTTAGCAAAAAGATCAGCATGTGTGGTATCTAAGATATTAAAGATCTACCTTCCCTGAATGTATGAGGAAGATACTGGCTTTAAAGAAGATGGAAGTGAAGATAAAGTTGCTGACACGTACACCACATCGATTCCTAGAAGCCTTTCCTCGTTCGCCACTTCTTCTAGCTCACTGTCCTCGCTCACACTTTCATCGGGTGTATTATATTCTTCTCCTCAAGCAATTTCCGGCTCAAATTGATAAAGAACAGCCATACTTCCATAGCGAAATTTGGTTGATTCAGCTCCAGCTATCCAACATGTTCCACTATCTGACGTCATCACACCTCATTCATCCCAAGCCATCAAATCCGCGATATTCCACAGGGAGCCCCAGCTTAAGTCATTTCGCAACTTTGACGGACGATATCACCCCAAAAAACGCATTTCATGGAATTTTCATTTCGATTTTCAAAATCAACAAGGTTTGATGTACATTTTAAGCTATGATGTGTCTGGCACCTCAGAGTCCCTTTAAAATCCATTACTAAGTAAAAGCTATATATTCAAAAAAACTATATATTTAAAACTTAAGAAAGGCCGCCCTTTACTTTTTAGATATATAGTATTATATATATAGCTCTTACTTGATGGATTTTAAGGACATTATAGCGTTTAAAAGGTGGAACCAAACTAATTCAGAGCGAAATTTGGACAATTTTGTTCTCGCTCCCTTCGCAAAACTATTGCGTCAATTTAATTGTATTTTTCATATAATGTGCTTGGATTATCCTAGATTCTAACAATGTTTTTTATTTTAAGATTTTTTAAATGTTTAGCCTATTACGGCCGAAAATCAAACAGTCTTTTTTCGCCTCATCCCCAGGTACGATTTTTCTGAAATTCTTCAAATTTTGGATTGAATTTTCAAGCGGCGTCATAACTTTTTTTCTGCCCAAGACTTTCCATCCAAATTTATACACAGGCTGCAATKGTACTAGWTGATAGGATTCTGAAAATTTCAGAAAAATCGTACCTGRGGATGRGGAGAAAAAAGCCMAAAACTAAAAATAGCACTGTTTGATTTTCGGCCGTAATAGGC